CCATATTTATTGAGGGATTTTTGCATCGATGTTCATCAGGCGAATATTGGAATCAAAATCTCTTTTGTGTAATCTCTGCAGGCCTTGCCCAATCCCTCCCCTGCCATGAAATGAGTTAGGGAGGATTCCATCCTTTTTCTATTGATTGGAATAAATTTCGACAGAATGTACCACTCTCCTTGTACCTCGGTAAATCGGCGGCTTGAATCCATCCGGTCTGAGACTTTTTTTCGTGTAGCTATTAATAGCCCTCTAATTTCAGAGCCGCTTATTGGTCGTATTCCAGGGATCATCCCTTCCTTCCCTGGTTTATCTTGGGAGGGTTACTGTCAGAAATTATCCATTTTCTTCTAAGGTTTTATTATTTTTTTACGAGAGGTTATATATTCTCTGATGGTAGTTGTATCTGTGGGCCGAGGTGAATATCCCCTTTATCATTTGGTATTGCGTCTATTTGATTCTTTCCTCTCTTCTCTTATTAGTCCCTGCTACAGCCATCAATTTTGTTGATCTTTCCAAAACCCCCTAGATTCTGATTTTTTGGAGGGTTTTTTTGTGTTCTATCTCCTTCCAGTTTGCTCTTAATCTTTATTAATCTTCTTGCTTCTGCTAGCTTTTGAATGTGTTGCTCTTGCCTTCTCCTAGTTCTTTCAATTGATGTAGGTTCATTTTAGATCTCCCTGCTTCTCTTTGGGGCCATTCATCCATAATTTCCCCTCTATACACTGGGGGCTTTAAAGTGTCCAGAATTCTGGTATGTTGTATCTTGTTCTCATTGTTTCAAAGAACATTTTATTTCTGCCCTTCATTTCGTAGGTACCAAGTAATCATTCAGACAAAGGTTTGTTCAGTTCCATGTAGGTGTGTTTGATTGATTTCTAGTCCGAGTTATTTGATATGCACTGTGGTCTGGAACAGTTGTTTACATTCCTGTATCTTACATTTACTGAGCACATGCCTCTTAACTTCCACTAATTGGTCCAATTTGTTTGGAAAATGCATGGGCTGAGAAAATCTATATTCCTTGCCTTGATTTGGACGTGTAGATTCTGTGAATGTCTAATTAGTCTCTTGCCTGCAGAGAGAGTTCATTCCTGATAATCTTGTACCCTTTCCTGTCTCCGTATCCTGTCCTAATGTTGAAACATGGGTATGAAGATCTCTCATTATTATGTATGGAGTCTAGTCATCTTTGTAAAGGTCTCAAGGACTTGCCTTTAGAATTCTGGTGCCCTGTAATTCGGGTGCCAATATATTTAGGAATAGTACGCTCTTCCCCCGTTGATTAATCCCTTACGATTATTGTTAATGGCATTCTTTCTTTTTGATCTTTGAATAGTTTTAAGTCTGTTTATCCAGAAGACTAGTAATGTACGCCTGCCTTTTTTCTGCTTTCCATGTGCCCCTTTGGTAGATCTTCTTCAATCCCATTCTATTTGCAGCCTATATTGGTTCTGCATGTGAAGTCTCCTAAAATACAGCAAACTGATGGGTCTTGATTCTTTATCCAATTTGCCAGTCTGTATCTAATTTATCCATTTTTTAAAGACCAGGTATTTTGGGATCCTCAGAAATCTTGCTTACCTCCTAGTTGCAAAATCTTCTCTTACATTTTCTACTAGAGCCTTTATAATTTTAGCTTTTATGTTTAGATCTATCATTCGTCTGAAATTAGGTTTTGTATATTGTGTAAGGTAATGGTGAAGGATCTCTCTTTTCCCCCCATTTGGATACTTAGTTTTTCCTTACCGTTTTGTTGAAAAGGATTTTTTTCTGAAGAATTCCTTGTTGAAATTCATTTGACCATATAATTGTGGGTCTGTTTCTGGACTCTGGCATTAGAAATATCTGCATGAACTCTTTTTTCTTAAAGAGATAGATACTTCCTATCTCTGTTTACTGAATCAGTGACTCAGTAGCAATGAACACCCCGAGTGTTCAGACCATGGTCTCTAAGTACAAATTATCATTGAACGAAACCAGGGCTCCTTGTAGAAGCATCTAATAGTGCCCAGTCAGTGGCAGGAATTCTATAATATGAACTCAGGGCACATTATTATAGCAGAAGCAAGAATACTTTCAAGGAGCTTTTCGTGGCCAAAGGTAGAACATATTGAGCATACTAATGAATAGTGACTGAAATCAATTCAATCCCATAATATATATTATTTAAAAATCCAGTATATTCACAATGATGCTACAAAATGAATGCATTAGTAACTTTTGGTAGTTTCTGTCTTCCTGTACCTTTCCCACTTCATACTTTGTTTATTTTTGGTAATTGCTAGCACTCCAGAATCATTGTTCTGAAAGTGGTGAATGACAGGAAAGGATAAACATTTATCTTGCCTTTCCTTTTCAAAGTAACAACCCTTGAATCCATAGATCAGTTTTAGCATCACTGAGACAAATGGCATATCTTTCTGAATAAGATGCAACAGGAAATCCAAAGAACCCATCCCCAGGTATTATTGCCATAGGAATTGAACCTGAATTAAGTCAAGTCTCTAGGTGCAATTACCAATTTACAGGACATGTAGGGATATAGGAACAATTCCATGAGAAAATCTAGAAGAAAACTGTTCTAATTTATCTGACAAATAAGTGGCATAAAAAATTGTAAGTAGAAGAAGGACTTTTAGACATTAAAGGAGACTTAAGGTCCATGACCAAATGGAATTTGTGGAGCTGCTTTGCATCCTGATTCATAGAAACTAATTGTAAAAAGATAGTTTGGAGACAGTTGAGGAGTATATTAAAAATACATTAATTTTTTAAAGTGGCAATGGTATTATAGTTAAAAACAAGTCTTTATCTGTTATAGTATACAGAAGTATTTACAGGAGAAATAAGATTTTTTCTGGTATTTGCTTTAAAATGCTTTTGAAAAGACAGATAAAATAGACACAATATTGATATTGTTGAAAAGGGTGATGAAGGTTCATTTTGCTGAACTGTCTCATGACTTTGTTTTCATAATAAAAAATTTAAACATGAAAAACATGCATTTTGACCCTGAAGTAAAAGTTTTGGCTATGAAGAACACTGAAAATATGCCTGAGATCAGCTTCTTAAAATCATATTAATGGGTTTTGCTGGCGTTATCACTGTTGTGAAGAAATATTTTTATCTCATACTTCATTTCTAATCTTATCTGAGAACCTTCCCTTGGGAGCTGATGACTTCAGTGTGTAAAATCAGAGCTTGGCATTTGTTGCCTGTTTTTTACACAGTAGACTGGAAATACTTTCTGTCCCAGCAGGCATTTGATTGTATTCATTCTTTGCACTCCTTCCTTGAAGACTGAATGAAGATCAAGAAGAACATTGATGCCCACTTGCTGTTTACTCTGAAGTAAGCAGTATGTAGATGGGTGCTCTGGGGCCCACCTCTGCCTCCTAAAGAACCGTATCCTTCTTTGCGGCTCACAGAGCTGGACTCCACCAGTACTCACCCCTTTTACCTTTGACCGTCTGTGTGACATGTCACAAAGTCATCAGGAACTCCCAAATGAAAAACCTGTTCTTTTGCAGTGTGTATTTACCAAATACTGTGTTTTCAAGCCCTGCTAGTCTGTCTACAGCTCACAGATGCCAAGTGCTGATTCCTAGCCTGTACATGGATGATGCATTGTAACTCTAAGGAGAATGTCTGCTGGTGCAGTGCACATGCTGTAATAATTGCTTTTTTGCACTATGTATCATTGATGATATGGGTTATCAGACCTTGTCATTTGATAAGGAAATTTTGACAATAATTCATTCTACTTTCAAGTGTGTTTATTTTCAGCCTTGAAACTCAGTTTTGTTTTTGTTTTTATAAGCGTCTTAGCAGTTGTGTGAGACTTATACCTTTTTTTTTTTTTTTTGCCACAGGAGGTATAACTTTGAATGATGCATCTATCATTCTATGTCACTGCCTTTAGTGACAAAATTAGTTCACTTTTGTAATCTGATAATTTTGTGATAATTTTGCATTTGTCAGGAAGACTGTATTGTTTTGCTGGAAGTGACAAGGTGCACTGTATGGAAGAGACGCCAAAACTTATATGGCTGCGCTTAGCTGAGTTTCCATCCAGTTGATCATTTGGATTAGGGACAAGTAGATTGCAGGTCCAATAAAATATAGCTTTTAATACACATCAAACTTTCTTGCCATGCTTTTCCCCCATCTGTGTGTGTAAAATATTTATCTTAGAATGTTCACTTTTTTTTTTAAGAACATCTGAATTTATGCTCTACTGGTCCCAAATTTCTCATTCATCATTTAGGTTTATAACATTATTTCATGTTGTAATTTCACTTTTGTTGTATTTCATTTTTGTGAATTCAAAGGGTAACACTATATAATGGAATAAAACTGTCAATTTAAATGTAAACAGTAACACCCCAAAATGTGAAAATGTATTTATTGTAACAGACTGTATCAAACTAAACATCAGTAAAGAGCAACCACACTGTTAATATGAGGTTTGCAGAGACAAAGGGATGGCGCCTGGTAATTTCTAAATTTCAAATTTCTTATAATTAATCTTACATTTTTGGACTGCATTATTGAAACCATCCAGTTGCTAGACAGACCAGACCACTGGGTCCACTGTGGCCCTTGATCATGCACTAAAGAAAACTGCCTTCAAACAAGAATCTGGGGACAGTTGCTTTCCTTCAGTGTCAGGGAGTCCTCAGACCCTGTGAAGCCTGCCTGTGTAGGATGGTGTTTCTCAAGCTGTGGATTGGAACCTTTGCATCAAAATCACTTGGGGAACTTCTTTAACAAGTATTTTCCTAAGCCCCATCCCTGACTCCTTAGCAGACTCTCTGGGAGTGAGGCCTGGAAACCTGCATTTTAAGCAACTTTCCATAGTGAATCTGATAAGAGTACAGTTTAAGTATTGCGTAGGGTTTATGCAACATCGAGCCAGAATGCCTCTCTTTTTGGTTCATATGACACATTTGTGTACTTAATGATGAGGTTTTTTTCTTTTCCTTTTTTGCCCTCAGGACTTGTCAGTCACATCTGTAACCTGCTCACTGAAACTGCCACACTGTGCTTGGATGTGGACAATAAAAACAACAATGAAATGGCAGCTGCACTGCTCTTTTCCCTGCTTGATATTTTGCACAGTATGCTGACCTATACCTCCAGTATTGTACGGCTGGCTTTGCAGGTAGAGGATCTGTTTTCCTGTGTCTTGAGCAGCCCTACTCCATTTCATGCTTCCCTTTCATTCTCTTCTTTCTTATCTCCCTCTATTGTGTCTTTACTTATTTAAAAGAACGTGTCATTCTGTAGGGAGTGTCTTCTGAAGAGTCATCTTTGAGTGACCAATGTCAGGAACAGAGAATTTGATTAAAATCTTCAGGGAAAGAAGGAGAGGCCTACTACTAAGCAAAGACTTAGCAAGCATTAGCTGGGAAACCACTCCTGACCAAGGAAAGCATTTGCCTTAGGCACAATCCTATTTTGGCCAAGTAGTTTGCAGCCTTTCATGTACTGAGGTGGCTCTCCAGTTCCCCCTTAGCAGGATAGGTCAGCTTTCTAGGAATAATGGATTGAGGGTTTGTGTACATACACATGCATATGTGTGTTTGTAGACACATATACATACATATATAACTCATAAGCTCAACTTGCTTTCCCTTATGGCTGATACCATGGACTTGTGAGATGGTTTTGAGGAATAGAGGTGTATTCAGTGGCTATGGAAAAAGCCAATTAGCCATAAACTGTAACCTGTGTTTACTTAGCATCATACTGTAAGGCAGGAAGGAGATGTGGTTTTATAGAGTACTTTCCTATGCCTGTTTTATTTAATGCTCTAACCAATGGAGTCAGCTGATATTTAGATCAAGTGGCAGGGCCAATGTGAATTTATTGTTATATTTAAAATCCTGATACAATTGCAAAAGATGTATATCAAATGGTAGCATCCAAGCTTGGATAGACGCAGAAGCTAAAGTTGAAACCAAACTGTTTTGATACCTTGCCAAAGTCACAGTAGCAGAGCCAAGGATGAATCCCTAGACCCCAGGATAGCCTCTGTTATTCATCATTCTGATAAATGGTATCTTTTATCCACAGTTAAGCTGGTCAAGTATTTAGCTTGTCTAATGTGATTTAATAAATCCAAGATCCCCTCAACAAATATTACTAGTTACTAAGTATTTAACCCAAACTGTAAAGCCAGTAGATTAATTAAAAAGCCATGGCCTTTGAATTACCTAGCTGCTTTTATTAGCTCATTTATAAGAATTCCAGATTAACAGTAAATAATTGTTATATACTTAAATAATCCCTAATTGTGTATTTCTCCTATTTTTTTCCTCTCTGTTCTAGTAAGTTTCTCTTCAGAGAATATGGTTTCTTATTTCAGTTTCCATAGTGGTAGTTTTTTGTAATTCTTTGAGATGTAGTTGATAGTTACTCTTACAGGATACTTTGATGATAATCTGTAAAAGATTTTCTTGTAAATTATAGATGAAAAAAAAAGGATCAGAAGTTAAAAATCTTCAGAACAATAGAAATTCTGTTTTTTACTATAAGTGATTAGGTAGATATTCAGGGATGTTTTAAAAGGAAACTCCTTAATACAAAATATTTTTGAATTTTCTATTTCCAACTTGCTAGTTTCCCAGTAGATCACTGCTTTTTATTGTTTTCATAGTCTTCAACACCACTGTACATTTTACTGCTATCATTTTTCTAAATCATCCCTCATAATATCTGCCATGTATTGCTTTTGGCCTTGACCACTGACTTTGATCTCTATGACACCTGGTGTCAATGTGAAGGAGGAGTCGTCCTTGAGGCTGAATTAGGTGAAAGAGTTGAGAAAAGAAATGGAATGTGAATCAAAGACATATCTGCCTTGAAACACTGAGCCATAAGTACTTTCCAAAACCCTAAGTCACCCCTTCCATTTATAGACATACTTCTCACACTGGAGATTCTTCTGCACTTGAAACCTATGTCTACTTCTAATAGGAGCTTCTTTAAAGTAGAAGAATTGAGAGAGGCCAGTGTTTAAAATTATAATGATGCTTAGATTCACAAAAGCATTTTTTCCAGGGAGGAGAGTGGTATGATGCAAGTATGTGTATGGGGGAGCAAAGGCAGGCATGTGTCAGAATCTCCATCAGAAGTTCAGTCCCTACCCACTACCTTCCCCGTGATTTAGAACTGGTCCCTGTTCACCTCTGAATGTTATGTGTGAAAGATTATGGAGACAGAGACAAAGTGCCTGAGACTCACTGGTGTGGTGGGGACATGTGGGTCATGCAGGTTGGAATGCCTTAGATTCAAATCCCAGACATACTACCACCTGTATGACCTCGGGCAAGTTACTGCACCTGAGTATCAGGTTCCTCATCTGGAAGGTAGGTGTGATCACCACTCTGCTGGGTGGTTGTGAGACTTCAATGGGAGAATAAAATATATGTAATTATATATAGATGTAAAGTGGCATACATATACCTGGCCCAGTGAAGGTGACCAATAAGTGGTTACTGTATCATGAACAGCAACAAGAAGAAAGGTTCTTCCTTTCTTGTTTACAGGGGGCCTCCTGTGGGCCATGACTTTCTCATTTCTACGTCCTGGTGCATGGAAGAGCACTCAGTTCATATTTACTGACTAACTCCTAGCAGGCTTATGAGTTATTTTGTACTTATGAGCCTAGCATAGGGCTAGGCACCTGTACTTTCAGCAGGAATCTAGGGAGAAAGGGTGTTAGCTCTCAGGAAGCTTACAGGTTAATAGAGAAGACTGTCAACATACAAATAATGAAGCAAGTCTTCATCTTATTGCAAGTGTGAAAATGCAGCCATTGAAAGGTATTACATGCTGCAGAATGAATAATGAGGCAGGGGACCAAGCCCAATTTTGAGATTAGGGAGGGCTTTTCTAGGGAAGACGAATATTTATTATTCTAATTCAGGTCACCTGACTTTCCATTCTGGGCCTTGTTGATCCTTTCTGAGGTGGTTTGGGGAAGCTTTTTACATCATCCTCCTGATAGTAGGACCATTAAACTGCTGTTGATTTGCAGATACATCAGTATTGTTGAAAGACCGTAAGGTGGCTACTGAGTCTTTCTTAGTCTCACATACACATAAAGGCTATCCGTGATTGGGGGCTATTTTGGGGGCTGTCTATTTTTAGCATCTCTTATAATTATCCAATCTGATTCCTTCATGGCCTTCCCCTTGTTGGCCTTCACCATGAGCTACCCTCTGCCTGGTTGTTGAATGCAGGTGAGATTTTTCTGTCATAGCTCATAGTCCTGATAGTTTCTCCCTTCCTTTGAAAACTTCAGTGACACCTCATTATCTATAACTTTCCAACTCCTTGCCAAGACATTCAAAGGCTTATACAATCGAGCCCCAGGGTACCTTCCCAGCCCATCTGCCTGACCTCCATGCTGCCCATACCCCAACCAGACAGTTCGTTGCACTGCCATCTTGTAAATGGATGCTGTGCTTTGTCACTCCTGTGCCTTTCCTCATGAAATTTCCACGTGTGAAATATCTACACTCCATATGACTCCTAGTAGACCCCGTCCCCACCATCCAAGTGATGAAGTCAGTTGTGACATTATCCTACTTCCCTCCTTCACCCAAACTTTATTTCTACCTCTATTATAGCAGTTTTCATATTCTGCCTTAGCACAGTTATTTGGAACTTGTCGTCTTTGCAGTTAAACCATGAGATCCTAGAGAATAGGGACTGAATCATATTCATCTTTGCATTGCGGACGTGCAACGTGATGGTATTTGGGGAGCACAGTAAGTGTTGAATTGAATTGATCGGAGCCACACCATTGATAGTTATGCTCCACTGTGTGCTAAAACCTGCTGGAGATATAAAGACAGGAACTGGGTTGGGCATGGTGACTCATGCTTATAATTCCAGCCCTTTGGGAGAGGCCCAGGTGGGCAGATCACATGAGGTCAGGAGTTCAAGACTAGCCCAGCCAACATGGTGAAACCTCGTCTCTACTAAAAATAAAAAAATAAAAAAATAAATTAGCCAGGCGTGGTGGCACATACCTGTAGTCCTAGCTACTCGGGAGACTGAAGCAGGAGAATCACTTGATGAACCTGGGAGGCGGAGATTTCAGTGAGCTGAGATCGTGCCACTGCACTCCAGCCTGGGTGACAGAGCGAGACTCCATCTCAAAAAATAAAAATAAAGGCTGGGCGTGATGGCTGACACCTGTAATCCCAGCACTGTGGGAGTCTGAGGCAGGCGGATCATGAGGTCCGAAGTTTGAGAACAGCCTGGCCAACATGGTGAAACCCCATCTCTACTAAAAATGCAAACATTAGCCCGGTGTGCTGGTGGGGACCTGTAATCCCAGCTATGTGGGAGACTGAGGCACGAGAATTGCTTGAACCCAGGGGGCAGAGGTTGCAGTAAGCCGAGATCGTGCCACTGCACTCCAGCCTGGACGACAGAGCAGGACTCCATCTCAAAAAAATAAATAAAATAAGACAGGAACTACTTGAGGAATTAACTGTCTCTTGTTCTTTATAGATGCCTTACCTCTGTGTATATTTAGCAGACCTCTGTTGATTATCTACTTCTGTGTGCTAGATCCATGTAGCAATGCTAGATGTAAGAGAATTGTATTTTACATGGCCTTTTTTTTTTTTGATGCTGGGAAGCTGTCTTCTGTTATCTCATTTTAGGTAATGCTGTATTGCTATTTAATGTTAAATATGACTCAGAAATTGACAGGCCACCCGCCTTGGCCTCCCAAAGTGCCGGAATTGCAAGCATGAGCCACCACACCCAGCCCAGTTCCTGTCTTATATCTCCAGCAGGTTTTAGCACACAGTGGAGCATAACTGTCAGTGGTGTGGCTCGGATCAATTTGACACTCACTGTGCTCCCCAAACACCGTCATGTCGCACATTCGCGATGCAAAGGTATATATGATTCAGTCCCCACCCTCTAGGATCTCACAGTTTAACTAAAAGGATGACAAGTTTCAAAGGAATGTCCACTTCTTCATTTGATACGTTTAAGGCTACTAAATGTATACTTCTACCTAAAGTTCTTCTTTCAAGTCAGTATTCATATACCTAGCAACTTGCTCAATATGTCCACTAGAATTCCCCATAGACCAAAGCCAAACTCAAGATCTACCCCGCAAATCCATTTCCCTGCCAGCAAGCCCTGCCCCACTCACCCTGCCATGCAAACCAGAAACCTGGGAGGCATTCTTGAAATTTCCCTCTTTTTTATGTCCCACATCTAATCTGTCACCAAATCATGTAGATTTTACCATACATATCCAACTCATCCAATTGCCTCTCTCAAACCCTGTTGCTACCACCCTCGCCCAGGCTAGCTTCCTCTCTTGCCTGGGCTATAACAGCCAGGGGATTGCTAGGAGTGGGGTAAGTTCACACACAGCAATGACAAAAGGGAGTGAATTCTGGAAAGGGGTCAGTGGGACCAGAGGCAAAATCAGAGGACCTGGATGAAGCAGACAGTCATGATGTGGTGACAGGGACACCGGCCCTGTACAGGATGCACACAAAGGGTGGGAAATCCAGGAGTTGGGAGGCCGACATGAGGGAGTGTGATGTTGTGGAATTGGAGAGAGGCTGAGAGACAAGACGGGCCTAGGCCTTTGCATTTGATTCTGGGGGCTTCAGTGTTTATGGCTGCATCCAGGCAGATGTCCTTTTGTTGCACAGAGCTTCCTTTGTGGGCCAGTACTCTTGTGGGGAGAGTGGAATTTCTAATGTCTTTCTTTTGTGCCACCTCTCTGTTGTGCAAGGCTGTAGCATTCTCTTTCTTCTGGAACTCTTGGCAACTTTGCAAGGAGGTGGCCGCATGAATACCGGTAGGCTGGATCGATGTTTCTTGACGACTATGACATATGACTATGTAGATCTTGGAAGATCTGGAGGACTGGGACGTCCTGGTGGAAAAAGTCCCACAGTGTTTCTTGTGCTGTGGCCCCATTTGCTTGCTTATATGTGTTTGGAAAGGAGGCACCAGACCCCTCACTGCTGCCTCATTGCTGATTTGCAAGACTGCCTTCTCTCTCCCAGGAGGAAATCAATCTGCTCTAAGGGGTAATGTGGTAATATTCCATGTCAGATAATGTTTCAGAGGGCAAGGGATCAACGGCCAAGATTCGGAAAGGTTCGGGCCTCTTGGATAGTGCTGCACATTTGTTTCCTGAAAGGAAATTCTCCGCTTCTGATAAAGTCAGTCAGGGAAGTGAGAGGCAAGCTCCAAGCTAATGATGACCCTTGTTCTCCTCACCTGTTGAGATGTGCAGGTTGTTAAAAGACAGGTGTCTGATGTGCAGGTTGTTAAAAGACAGGTGTCCGATTTTCAGTCAAGTTCTTCTGAACCAAAGAAAACAGGCAACTGAAATTCTGTCCATAGGCCAGAAGTGCAGAAGGAAACGAGGCATTTATGAGAAGGGCCCTGGAGTCCAGGTGAATGACTCAAGGCAGGGCAGCCTCTGGCCTGCTCTGTAGGCTCTAGCAAAGGTCATTATTGAAAAGTGGTTTTGTTTCTTCTGAGTAAAAGTGAAAACAGAGAGGAAGAGTGTATACGTATTATAGCAAATGCAAAAAATAATCCGTACCATTTTTCAATATAAAATTATTCATCTCTGTGATAGAAGTCTCCTTTGGAACTAGACAATTCTATAAAACCTCTGGGAGAAGACACACAATGTAAAAACCACTCACTCGTTTATTTTCATTGCCATTTAAGTCTACACATTCACAGGAATATAGACCTGTATTTGAAGCCTATTCATGCAGTGATATGTTGGACAAATATTCTAGATGTTATTTGAGCATATGTATGCAATATAGAGAAGGAAAGCACAGCAGAATGCACTTGGTATGTATCATAATGTGCATAAATATGCTCAGAGGAGATTAGCATTTGTGACTTGGAGTCAGCCTGGGTTTGGTCCTCTGGCTTTGTCATCCATTGTCTGTGAGATGTTAGACAAACGACCCAGCTTCTCTAAAGTTCAGTTTTCTTCAGCACCTGGTCTCAGGATGGTTAAGATAAAGCACTTTTGGCTGCGCGCGGTGGTTCACATCTGTAATGCCAGCATTTTGGGAGGCTGTGATGGGTGGATCATGTAAAGTCAGGAGTTAGAGACCAGCCTGGCCAACATGGCAAAACCCCGTCTCTACTAAAAATACAAAAACTAGCGAGGCATGGTAGAAAGAGCCTGTAATCTTAGCTACTTGGGAGGCTGAGTCAGGAGAATCGCTTGAACCCAGGAGGCAGGGGTTGCAGTGAGCTGAGACCGTGCCACTGCACTGCAGCCTGGGTGACAGAGCGAGACTCCATCTAAAAAAAAAAAAAAAAAAAAGATTAAGTCCTTCCCCACTGCAATGTATGGGACATCACCATTATTCCTCCAGCAGCAGCAACCATTGTAATTGCTTTATCTATGTGCTGTACAGAGGTCAGCCTCTGTAGCCTGAGCTGGTGGCAGTGGCAATAGCTACACTCCTTGTGTCATAACAAAGCATAGTATCTCTTCTGGGGCCTCCATCTATTCCATCCTTGGGAACCGAGGTAGAATGCTTCCCCAGCCCCTCATGTCTGCCAGACAGAGTGGTCCTGTTTCCTTTAGCCAAGCTGACTAATCACCGAGACTGTCTTTCATTTCTCTTCTCCCTGTTCCAGGCCCAGAAGTCTGGCTCAGGAGAGGACACTCAGGCTGCAGAAGACCTGCTGCTGCTCGGCAAACCTTTGACAGACCTGATGAGCCTGCTCATTCCGCTGGTAAGAGCTCACCCGTATGTCCTTTGGAGCATTACTGAAGTTGAAGTAATTGTATTTGAATTTCATGATCCCTTGAGTTTCTGTGTTATTTTCATTCCCTTCAAAACTAGAGCCAAAAGAACTTTCGGAAGATTATTTGGCCTGGAAAACTAAATCTCTACTTTATTTTAAAACCAGGTGGCTTATTTATTTAAATAGATGTTTAGGTAAGGCAAAATCTCAAAAATCTCAAATCTAATTACTTTCTTAATGAATGTGAGGTAAAAAATTCAACAAATGAATTCTAAGAAGAAAGAAGAAATTGCTATGGGAATCAATTTCTTTTCAAAAAGATATTTTAGAGTTTGACTTGGCATGCAGGACTCCCCGAGAAATGCAAAAGCACAGACACAGACCTAGGGCACACCCCCTCAATCTCAATAGAAATGGAATGAAATAAGCAAAATTAAATAAAAACAGGTAAGACTATACAAGACCACTTGATATACAAAAAGAGCGCAAACAGAAATTCAGAGTTGGGAGAGTTTGGACGTATTAAACAGTTTTAGCCTAGCACTTTGGGAAACCGAGTGAGTGAATCATTTGAGTCGGTCCAGCCTGGCCAATATGTGAAACCCGCGTCTCTACTAAAAATAAAAAAAAATTAGTCGGGCGTGGTGGTGCACACCTGTAATTCCAGCTACTCGAAGACTGAGACAGGAGGATCGCTTGAAACTGGGAGGGCAGAGGTTGCAGTGAGCCAAAATGATGCCACTTCACTCGCGCCTGGGTGAAAAAAGCAAGACTCCAGTCTCAAAAATAAAAAACTTAAAGAACTGTTTTAAACATAAAATTCACTGCCTACAAAACTTCCGCAGTCTTTTTAAAAGATCAATTATTTGTTCGTCCTAATTACTGTGTGTTGTTAACTTTATATTTTTTGCAATTCTATCATCTTTAAAAAATTTTTTTTTCCATTTATTTTTTTGAGACAAGATGGTCTCGCTCTCTTGCCCAGGGCTGGAGTGAGGTGGCAGGAGTCTCAGCTCGCACGTGGCAACCTCACCTACCAGGTTCAAGCAATTCTCCTGCTCAAGTCTCCGAGCAGCTGGGATTACAAGGCACCCACCACAGTGCCTGGCTAATTTTGTATGTATTTTTAGGTAGAGACAGGTTTCACCATGTTGTCCAGGCGGGTCTCAAATTCCTGATTTCAAGTGATCTGCCCGCCTCGGTCTCCCAAAGTGCTGGGACTACAGGTGTGAGCCACCACGCCCAGCTTAATTTTATCATCTTTCTAGTTAAGAACATCTAGTTGCCCTTTCTTAAATGGAATTTTTCTATGATATCCATGTTCCATGGAATTATAAGTTAGAAACTACATGGAAGATGAAATATGAGAAATAAAGTGGAGTGAACAATAACAGTAATGATGCAAGACAGTATTACATGCAGAGTTCATGGGCATGGGCTCAGCTTAGCTCTGCCACTTACCAGCTATGTGACTTTGGACAAATATTAAGTAATAATATTGCTTAATTTATTGATGCCACAGTTTCTTCATCTATAAAATGAAGTTAGTAATGCTAATGAGATCATGAAATTATTTTGAGGATTAAATGAACAGTACCTGGCATATAGTATATGTTCAACAAATATAGCTATATAAAAATTGATACAGGCCAGGTGTGATGGCTTATGCCTGTAATCTTGGCACTTTGGGAGGTCGAGATGGGAGAATCAACTGGGTCCTGGTATTTGAGACTAGCCTAGGCAACATAGCAGGACTCCGTCTCTATAAAAATGTTTAAAATTTGGCCAGGTGTGGTGGTGCACACCTAGCTACTTGGGAGGCTGAGGCTTGAGGATTGCTTGAGCCCAGGAGTGTGAGGCCACAGCCAGCAATGATGACACCACTGCACTGTAGCCTGGGCAAAAGAGTGAAACAGTGAGACCCTGTCTCAAAAAAAAATTAAATTAAATTAAATTTTAAAAAATTTAAAAAATACACAATTTCACCACTGTTAACCAGTGTTGACAATGAGCTAGATTCTATTAGTGCTTTACCTTTGATCTTATTTAGCCCTTCTTTCCTTATGACATAGGCCCATCCTTACCTTCCAAATAAGTACCCCAAAGGTTAGAAAGGATAAAAATACAAGAGAGCTCAGTGTCTGAACTCAATGTCTACAATTTCCCTACCACCATTCTCCTTGGCCTCTGGATTAACTGCAAACACGCTAAACTCTTAACTTTATTCCATATTCGGGAATAGTCTCACTGAAATACAATGTTTTGATTCAAAAGCCATTCTGTTTTGGCTGTTTTTAAGTTTTGGAGGTCTTCATGAATGGAAGATATTCCTAGCTCAAACATGGAGTCATTTCCAGATGCATTTTTCATAGTTTAAGATGTTCTGAATGGAGGCTACTTTTTGCCTTTTTATCCCAAGGATGATGGCCTTTTTGTCCATTTGTGACAAACACATAAATGGACAAAAATGCTTGTAGACTTCACAAAGCATTTTTGTTTAGGAAGCACAAAATATTTTACACTTCTATTTTATGTAGTTATATCTAATTAGCAGAGTTAATTAGGAAATAGAAATGATTATGTCTTCAAAATACGAGGAACACCAACACAGAATGGCTCTGATGAACCTGGGTTTGCTTATATTCCTTGTAACAGCTGCCCTGATGACACTGTTTAATTGCTGGGTTTGAGTGATTGGATTTAACTCTCAGTAGAAAGAGAGTAGATACTCCCATCTCCTCTCCTGGAGGAATCTGCTTCTTTCAGAATTGTTTGTTGAACAGATGTCTATTCCAGATAATCTAACAACCCAAATTCTGTAGGCCATAATGAAAAATCCCTGGATGGAGCAGTTGTTGAAACTTGAAATGCAGACTTAATTATCTACCCTGGAGTGACCTAGGTGCTGCCTGGGGAGCTTTCTGGAGGTTCTGAAGTAGATGAAGAGCAGAGAACCCGGAACTTGGAACAGATAGGTGGCTCTCTGTAGGCCACAGAGGTCTGTTAAATAGGGCAGTATGTGTCTACCAAGTTCAAAATCAGAAGGTTCCCCAGAAGGCTGACTTTCGGAATTCCAGTAATCAGGGAGGAAGGTGAGTATAGAACATAAAATGTGAAGGTTTTTGTTGGTATTTGAGGATTTTGCATTTAAATATTTATTAGCATGCTTTATGTATTCTTCTCTCACTATTCTTCTTCTGTTTTTTATAAAATTTAAACACAAGAGGGTACCACCTTGGGCTCTATATTTAGGCTGACACCTTCCCTTTTTATTTTTAATTCCTTGATATTACATTGAATCACATAAAATTGCCAATATCCGACCATTTGGGGCCTACAAAAGTAGCAGTTTCATTTGGTTCAACCTTATATTAGGAATATGACAATTTATTGGTCTGTACTACCAATAGTTCCTGAAATTCGTATAGCACTTTTTTGGTACATGGTACTATCTAATTACTTGAATTGGAATATTATACGATTCTGGCCAGAGGTTGCCAGGAGCTGTGGATTTTGAGTCAGAAATCCAAGAGTGAATGTCTGGCTCTGCTGCTGCCCAGCTGTGTGATCTTGGATGGGGCACTCTTTGTCTCTGAGCCTGAGGATTAAATGAGATGATACCTGAGAGAAATGATCAAGTGTCATTTCTTGAAAATTTCCCCTTTGATCACATATTATATCTGATCTTTAGCCTTATCCTCTGCTTGCTTTGATTTGTTGGAATAGTCTGTTCTGCCCTCATAAAGTGCTCCTTTTGTCTCTCTCACCCAGCGAACCTCTGATGCTACCCCTCTGCTCAGTTTAGGATTCTTTATGATTCTTGGAACCTTCTTTATAGACATCCTCCCTTGTGTTTGGAAGTTCCTCCCAAAGGCCCCCTCTTGTTCCCTGTTTTTTTTCCAGATCGTCCTCTGGTTTCTTACCTTGAATATTTACATATATAAAAGCACAGGGTCCAGTTTCCTTGAATACTACCCACTGCTTTGAGGTCTTCCCGCCTTTCTCCTGGAGTTCTACTGGAGCTGCAGCTTTCCCTGTCCTGCTTAGAGCCCTGCAGCCCAATGGTGATGCCACCCAGTGTTCAGGGCAGGTGATTACCCAAGGAATAAAATTGTCCTCTGAGAGGTTTTTCCCAGCTCTTTGTGATACTGAACTCCTGTTACTTGTAACTTGATCATAGTTAGGTTCTAGTGTATTGACTAGACGTATGCCTAATGTGTGTGGGCTGCATTGCGTACAATATATACACATTTATCATTGGAACCATTAGGTTTAAAAATGGCCTGTGACAAGAACACTGCCATATGTCTTCTCTGGGCAAGATTAACACACATTTATAGCTGTGTATAAAGTGAAGAAAAATAGTAATAAGGCTATTGAGGACCTAAACTAGAGCACATACAGACCAAAGATAAATTTTACAGTGGTTGTTAAAAAATGTAATAGGTTACAGAATGAGGTGCTGGAATTGCTTTCCCGTAGGGAAAAATAAACATACTTTCAGTTTTCATCTGACTTGGATAATTTTGGAAGCATTTGGCTTAAAGGCAACAGAATGAACTTGTTAGCTTTTGAGGTTTTTTTCCAGATATGGTCCTATGAAAGTAAACCTACTTATCCTTAAGAGAATATGAAACCTGTCAACCTATAATTTATGACCTGTGTTTATAATATATACTGTAGGAGAGCCATAGTGAAATGTTTATATAAGACAGTGTTTCTAAGTCTGTTTTGACAATCTGATTATTCTTGATTATCTTACCATAAAAATGCCCAGACTTGCTTATATGCAGCGTTCTGCACGCAGTTCACAATTTCAGGGGGAACTTCAAACCCTCAGTTGGTAACCATAGTATAAGATATGGCTAATATAGGATATAATAAGTTGACTGTGTCTCCTGAAGGAAAGGTAAAGCACGGTTATTGTTTGACCAAAGTGTTTTATTACTGGAAAAAAGAAAATGAGAAGCCAAACTATATATTCTAGA